ACTTGTAGAAGAGCCCTTTGAATCTCTTGGTCTATCATTTAAGCATGATATTGTATCCACTACTGGGGATGAAGCAAGTATTATGATCAAGTTCAGAAAAGAATCACCTGCTTTTTATCAAACATGTCTTGCGCATGCCTTACATTTGGCTGTTACAAAAACTTTTTATAAAGAAAAATCAAAGACAGAAGAAAGTATAGAAGAAAGTTCAGGAGAGACAGATGATTTTGATGATGTTTATAATGGTTTGAGCATTAATGAAACTGAATTACAGAATGAATCGTTCAAAGAAAACATAAATATTGTGAGACAAGTTGTAATTTTTTTCAAAAATTCTGTTGTGCATTCAGATTTGTTCAAGTCTAAATGTAGAGAAAAATTACAGATAGAGCAACAACTCTCTCTGGATTGTAAAACCAGATGGAATTCAATGCTGAAAATGCTTGAAACATTTGTAAAATTGTATGACGTTATAAAGGATGTACTTATTGAACTTGGAAATTACAAACCTGGAATTAATAAAATCGGTAGTCTTGGCGTTAAAACAAATTGAAGCGGCACTTAACGCTATGGGTGAAGAACAAGCCACTTTACGAACAGCATATATTTCTATCAACTTTATGCGAGAGAAGTTAACTGAACAATAATCTGAAATTAGTAGTTCTCTTTCTGAAAATATCGATTTTTGCATCAATAGCAGGATCAAGAAAAACATCATAGATTTGATGAATTCACTAAACAACTTAAATAAAACACTAAAAAAAGCTTCTATAGAACTAGCAGTTGCTTTGATGAAACGTTTATTTCCGTCACCAGATTCATGAAATGAAAAATAAGCAGTAAAGGCCCATCCACGAGAGTAAGCTCGCGACGTAGTTGACGCAACATTTTTTGACACTGGCGCAAATTCACGTGACGCAGAATACGTAAAACTGATTTCGCTCCTGTTTAGCTTTTACGTCCGTAACGTGAACAAACAGCCAATAACCGACCGACTTCTTATCACGTGTCAAAATCAGTAAACCGTCTTGCTTACCCGTTTCAGTATGGTATCAGAACCACACAGAGATGAGTTTTTGCTTAGAAATATCATAACTGTATACAGCAATAAAATAATCAGCATTGTTCATGCCATCTTCAGATTTCTCAAACCATATATATTGGTATAAATTTCAAATTCTCATTAAAGGGGAAAACTATATTTATAAAGCAATGATCCAATCAGTATATCCATATGCTTCACCTGTTTATAACACTGTAAGTAATAGGAACCTAAATAAATTAGTTTCTATGAAATCATTACAAAATTCTCCTTAATTATTATAAATATTGGCTATATCATGTGTAATAAAGCTCTATAAATATCCCAAAAACTAACTTCAGCAATATAACAACTTCTAAAATAAACCAGTTGACTGTGAAAGAGTAATTCAATAAAATACAATTACGAAATTTTGGAAGAAAGTTACAACTTGTGTATACAGAAATCATTTATTGAAGTTTAATTAAATCACCTTTGCAGTGACTTTTAATTGTTACATTATTTTTCACAAACACAAGTTTAATTAAATCACCTTTGCAGTGACTTTTAACTATTACATTATTTTTCACAAACACTGCTATCACGGATAGCTGAGTGGTCAGCGCGTTTGCTTTGCAAATGGAAAGGTGGTGAGTTCAAACCTTACCCGTAGACAGTATACAATTCAGTTAGCTTTTCTTATTTTGAAACATGTTTCTTATATTTAATCATGAATCATTATATTCTTATTTTACCTATTATTATTGTTTTTATTTCTTATTTTATTCATTATCAGTACTGTTTTTAATTTAGTTTAAAAATGTGCATTGCAAATAGAAAACCTTATGTAATACTATATCTGCATCTCTTTATCATATATCATCTATAAATTATCCCATTATTTTTACTTTATTGCATATTTTATCATGCACATAATTTCTCATAAACTGTCCAAAGTTTGAACCTCATTCTAAATTCAAAAATAAATAAAAAGAAAAACAAAAGACCAAGGGAGGGAGAGCTTAAAAAATATGAAGTTGGTTTTATTATATGGTGGATGGTGTATATAAAGAGAATTAAGTAATTTAATTCTCTTTATATACTGTATTCCAAACCAATTTTATAAATCCTAATTTTCATACGATATAGAATCTGCAAGTCTGTCAAACTGGTCGATACTCATCCTGAAGTAATTAAAAAACAAGTAACAAACACACACACACAAAAAAGTCAATTCCTACTTAGGTTCACAAAGGAAAATTTAAACAAACAAACAAATAAATAAATAAATAATAAAAAAATACAGAATTTTTTTTAAATTAAAAATTAAAAAAATTTTAATATGTGAAAAAGCTGTATTAACATCAAGTGTCATCCTCTACAAGTTTAAAAAATTGTATTCGAACTTGAGTGGATGAGAAAAAAGTATTTTATTAACGACTGAAAATTTCAACAAGATATATGGAGAGTGTGAGCTAATAGTAGGAATTTAATAATTCCGAATATTCATTTCGCAAACGAGGCAGTAAAGAAAAAAAAACTCTTTGAACAGGTCGCTCTAAATAAATCTTTCAGAACCATTCTCGTAATTTTTTTTGCGGTTTTGCCTCTGCTTAATGAAGTCAAGTTTTAGCTATCAAAAAATCATCTGATTCAGGCAACTTGCCGCAAACATATAAAAGCACAGCGAAGTAACAAGATACAGCTCCAAGATATAGAACCATTCTCGTCATTTTTTTGCAGTTTTGCCTCTGCTTAATGAAGTAAAGTTTTAGCTATCAAAAATCATCTGATTCGGGCAACTTGCCGCCACAGCGAAGTAACAAGATACAGCTCCGTTGACGCTATATTAAAGCGCCACGTGATTTTTGTGCAAAATAATTCTATTGGTTAAACGCACTCTTCGCAAGCGTACTCGTTTGGACGTTTTTTCGCTGGTAACATCGCGTTCGTCAACTACGTTTCGAGCGTAGCCGTGTGGACGGGTCTTGAAACACAAACAACTACCAAAGTTGGTGCTTCTCTTGAAGAACAACTTAGAGTACTATTAAAAGTTCCAACCAGCAAATTACTGGAAGGTGACCGCTTTAAAAAATTAAGTCAAGAATTTACTTTGTCAAAAAGTAATGGTGAATTGACTGTAAATTTAAAGCGGTTACTTGAAGCTATTTACAATATAAAACCAACGTTGATTGATTCTGAGAGGGCATTTCCTGTGGCCAACAATTTTTGCACCATAATTAAATCGAAGCTATCAGATCACTACATGCACTGGTGTTTTTAAAATATTTTTTCATTAATATAAATGTATTAGTAAAGAAAAAGTTTCTTTTAAATTTCTAAAAAATATTATTTTAATTATAAGTCACTTATAAGTCTTTTGATAATGTAAGTATGTCAACTTCAAATACTTGAAAGCCCGAAAAAACAATCAAGCTCAAGCTCAAGCTTAACCGAGCTTCAAATTATCAAGCTTTACCAAACCCTAGTTGTCACCAGTAATTCCAGATAATGTGTCTGCCATATGGAAAATATTAATCATGATAATTACAGCAGCACTTACTAAAAGATACAAAAGGAACTTAATATTGGATTCAACGCCATTCATAAAATTATTCATGAAACTACTTTGCCGTTGAGTTCTCCATAATTTAACTGAGCACCAAAAGAGAAGCATGTCAGAATCAGTAAAGAAACCCTTACATTACTTAAAAGATGATGGCCATCACATTACTTCTGAAATCATAACTGGTGATGAAATATACATACCATTTTTTGATGTTCCAACATACCAAGAAAGTAAAGTATGGGTCTTTGATGATGATTCCATGTCCACAATGGTGAAAAGACAATGTGCCATGAAAAAAGTAATGTATGCCACTTTCATCAGAGGTACAGGACTGGTCAAAGCTCGAAGGACAAAAACAGTCACAGCTAACTGGTACACCATTAAGTGTCTTCCAGAAATTCTTCAAGAAGTGAATGTTAGAGAACTCATGCTCCTGCATGACAATACGTCTCCTTATTCAGCAAGATTAACAGCTGAGTTTCTTGAACAAAAATACATCAAAGTGATGAAACATCCCCCCCATGAACCTGATCTAGCTATGTGTGGCTTTTGGCTATTTTTTAATCTAAAAAAGAACTTATGTGGACATTGTTTTCATTTCAAAGACGAGATTGATGAGGCTATAAATGCTTTTTTTCCCCATCAATTCCAAGAAATGAATGGCTTGAGCATTTAATCTTTGGAAGATTCACCTACGGAAGTGCATTGATGCTGGAGGAGACTACTTTGAACGCTCCTAAAATTTCATAAATTTAACTTTAAAAAAACCTATGTGTACCTCAAAAATTTCAGACTGACCCTTGTATGACACATACGGCTCTATTAGATAGTTGACAGCCAATGCATATATGACACACCTGTTCTAAAAGGGTCTATATGTATCCAATGTTTTTCCCAAATATAACATATTAAGCAGCAAATATTTCATAGCATGAGAAGTTACAGAAAATTGAAACTATTAACATTCTTATTTTATTCTTAGGCAAGCCATTTATGGTATTTATTTACTATGCCAAATTTAGATTATAAATTTACACCTAATAATAAATAAGAAAGTCAGAGATTCTATTAATCATTTTTTTCTTTTAAAGTTATAAATTTACACCTAATAATAAATAAGAAATTCAGAGATTTTATAATCATCAATTAATGTAGAAAATATTTTTCTTTTAAAGAAAGTTAACTTCCTTTTTACCTGCAATTAATTCAATATTTATTCAATATAAAGTACACATTTCAGAATTGTTTTAATTACAATTAATGTTTTGTCCTTTGAATAAAATAAACTATGACAAAATATTTACACAAAGCTTTGCCACAAAATATTTACACAATTTTTGATAAAAATCGCAAAATTTATAAAATTTTTCTATTAAATGATACCAATATTTAAAAAAAGTACTGATATACCAAGCAATCTTCTATACACATCTTCAGTGATATTTCTTGTAGGGCAGTAAATAATTGTCGGACCCGAAAAACTAGGATTCCCATTCTTTTTCGTCATAACTCTCAACAAATCATTTTCAACAGAGCCACTTTTCATGCATACTTCCAGGTACAGATTAGGCCTAAAAGAAAATTTAAAAAATTTTAAATACACATATATATTATGTCTGAAAATATATTCTGCGTAAGATTCAGTCACAATTAAATTATGCCCAATTTTTCAAATACTTAATACAATAACGAGTGGGGGGGAAGGAACAAAAAAGAGAGCTGAAAAAAAAAAAAAAAAAAAAAAAAAAAAAACTACCTTTCAACAACAAAATAATATTAACAATTTTCAGATTACTTGCTTAAAATTTCCAAAATGATATTAATTTCCTCACAGTTATGTATTTCATGCATCTAAGCTATTATATAAGAATCTTACAGGTGAATCATATTACAATATTTTAGTTTGCATGGATTTAATAAAGAAAATTACTGCATCTATTGACTTGAAATTTTACATACTAGTAGAAAATGAGTAACACAGTACTCTATGGACTAGACAGCGGCAATCACAAAGAATCTCATTTCCTTTTCCTTGCCACATCATAAGAAATTGTTTAATTTCTTTTTTCAATTACACTCAGGCTCCAGCAGTTTTGCCATGTTAAGCTGCCATGTTTTGCCATGTTACACTGTATAAATCAAGCATATTAATAACTCAAACCAAAATATATCTTTATTAAGTTGTTGCTTTTCAGAACAACTTAGTTGGTGCTCTAATAATAAACAAGAAAAATTAGTGGTCCCTACATTTTAAAATTCATCAGACAGAATTTAAATTTCTATTCTGGTGAATTTAAAATATAGATTATTAAGTAAAGATAATATTTTTTCAAATAAAATATGCTGTGATTCTTTTCTAAAACTAAACAAATGTTAGTAAATGTGTGCATTTTATATCAATCTATTATCTAAAGTGTAGCATGTAATACACAAACTAGTATATATTTTTGGTTTCCTTAAATTTAAACAAGCCCCATTTTTGTAACGCATCCTAGGTTTTAAAGGTAAGTTAAAAATTTCAGATTTACAATTTTATCTAATGGAAAGTTATCATTTGCATATTATATTTATTTGACAAACTTTCAGGCTTCATCAAAACTAATTTTTTAAATTATTATTATTGTTATTTTTATTTACTTATTTTTTTATTTAATATTTTTCCAAAAGGGAATTTTTAATGTATGCTTGTATCTTCATGTTTGAAATGCTTATGTTTTAAAAATTTCCATTTTTGAATTATAATATAGCAGACCTTAGTAATAAACTGAGCAACTTATTTCCCATTTCTTATCAGAGAAACAAGACTAAGGATATCTAGAAAAACTTTAATGAGTTTTCCCTTTATATGGCAACAAAAGTATTTTTCTGGTTGAAGTTTGAAGCTGACATAAAAACTGTGTCTTTTTATTACAAATTGGTTAAAATTCACATAACCTGAAAACTTACACCATTTGATTCTTTTCATAAGTTAGAATCATGGATCCATCTATGACCACTGATTCAATTTATATTTTCACAAGCTATAATTTTTTCAATTTTTTCAACATTCAATATACATAGATATCTCTACTTATATAACAATAACCATTAAAAAAGAAAAAAAATTACCGATCAAAACTCGAACACACTCTAACAGGATTTACCAAATTCAAAGAAGAACATATATCATTCAGAACAACTGGAGTTGCCGTTGCCGTTACAGCCATAAAAGGAACCTTTGATTCAAAGATTAAATAATTAAAATAAGTATTCCATATATGCTCAGCATTAAAATAAAATGACTGAAGATATAAAGATAACATACGTGGTTGAAAGTAGAACGTAACTTGCCAAGTTTTCTGTATGAGCTTCTGAAATCATGGCCCCATTGAGAAACACAATGTGCTTCATCAATTGCAAATAAAGTAATGCCTAAAAATAAAATTCAATATTTGGTATAAAATAATTGTTAGTTCTTCAGGCTTCCACATAGAATTAAATTAAAAACTGCTATAAATACAACGGGTTTTGTTTGAACAAATCATAAATTGTTGAAGGGGGGGAATCCTTTTCCTTTTTTATGTTGTTTATGCGCAGCAGGTTTATGAACTAAAAACTTATAGAGGCATGGCAATGTATTGATTTCTGTGATGAAAGAAGAGCAAATTAAAATGCAAAAAACTTGGTGCAAATTGCATTCTTGAAAAGTAATTGATCCGAAAGCAGATTAATGAATTTGCTCACCTAAGATATCAATAATTACCAGAGTTCGACTTAAAATACCCATAGCCTATTAACAGCTGAGTGATAACATCTTTGAACACTGGATAGTTTGGACTGGGTTCAGATCCCGCTTGGGTTCCCCAGATGATTTCATGGTTTTCCCATTGTGTAACAATTGTGTAATGAGAACACTAACAAGTTTTCCTAAAAAAGTTCTTTAAGATAGTCATAGCATTTTCAATTAGCTGCACAACTGTAAAACTTTCACAAGAAGTATAATTTTATTAACATCCAATGACAGAAGCACGTTAAAGAGAAAAAGATTATTTTGTAAAAACATACAATTTTGAAGCAAGATCAAACATTAATGAATTAAAACACAAAATAAAAATACACAAGAAATTAATACAAGTGTGATTACTTCAGATTTAGATAATTAATGACTGATCAAATAAATAATTAAAGATGAATTAAATAATAATAATTCATATAAGAACTTACCAATTTTTTCATCTAAAGATTTCAGTAATGACATAGCATTTTCTGCAAATTCAGGAGTCAAATAAACAACTTTGTATTTACCCCTTAAAAAGTTTTGAAATAAAAATTATCTAAATCATCTATTTAAAATAGAACACAAATACCATCAAATATAATTTCTAATGGCCTGACTGGGCATCAAAGGAATAAGTTAAAAGAAATTCTGAGAAACAGATATCAAACATACTAAATTTAGAAAATAAAAGGGATGTTTTTATCAAAAATTTAGAATGGTTTACGATAAAAAATGCTAAATTTCAAATACATTTCTTTTTAATGCTTTATTTTAAAATACTTCAGAAAGTAAGACTTTTGTATTACATATTACAACAAAAATATATGTTCAATATTCATAATAGTACTTCTACTGGTTTATATTAAAAATGGACTTAATCTCTGAAACAAACATTTCAATCAAAAATCGTATGTCAGTCCCCCCCTTTTTTTAATATATCTTTCAGAATATACTACATACCTTAAGTTTAAATATCTATAAACTTCATTAAAATTACTAAAATTGAAATTTTCTATGAAGTGACATTTACAAGAAAGATGTAATGAAAAATGAATTTTCATGAAAAACTAAATTGCATCAAATATATAATAAAATCTTACTTTAAGAGGTCTTCTTTTACTTTCGACATTTGTCTCTGAGATGATCCCAAGTAACAAGCACCAATATTTACAACGCTAATAAATTAAAAAAAAAAAAAAAAAAAAAATCTTATTTTAAGTAAATGTAAACATTTTTCAACACAGATTTAAAACAAATACACAATAAATTGAAAATAGTGGTTAAGGAATGGCAGAAATGTAGTACAGTCAAGTCTTTAATCCGGACATCCATAATCCGAACCTCAAAGCTACAAACTTTCTGCGCTTGCGTAAACGCATAATGCGTTTATGCATGCGCATTTAATGTATAACGGACGGTATAAGCTAAGCTAAAATTATCTAATTATCTATTTCAGTTAATGTTGCAGATTGCGTTGTTACTTAATCTTCTAATTGGATGCGACTTATTATTTTTTGCAGAATGTTAGAGCAATTTTATAAAAGTAAGCTTGAACTTCCGATTCTGTCAAAAAGAATTTCCGATTCTGGAGCTGCCAAAGGATCTACAAAGCGAAAGCATGTTTCGATGTCCATCAAACAAAAAGTGGAATTGCTGCAAAAAATGGATAAAGGTATATCCTTTGTTTCTCAAACCATTCCGAAATCTGTTTATCAATTTCCCGCTGCTTTGCGGGGGAGGAGGGCGTTGCGGCGCACAATGAACTGGAAGTTGATCTGTTAGCACTATCCTTATTTTCAGGGCAGATGTTTTTATTTTATTCAGCTTATAATTCCTTACTAAATGTAGTATTTCATCTCGATGTACTCTGTCTTTGATATAATTTAAATCAAATTCCCCGTCATTATAAATATCATGAATCACATTAAATAGTTTTCTGGTTGCAATTTTCTAATTTCGACTATGCGTAATATATGCTTTACGCATGCGCGCGTTGAAAGAAATGTTCAATAAAGTAAACAAATAAATATTAAGCTTTTTTTTTGTAAATTTTGTTACCCTTTAGAACATAACTGCTCTTTATTTCATAAATTACGGTTTCATATTTTTAATTTTATAATTTCTGCATGCCATCTTGCCAGATTTAAACTGATGATCTATAATCCAGAAAACCGAAATTGCCAAAGTCCCGACGAGTCCGGATAAAGGACTTTTGACTGTATTAATATACAAGCAACTCATGTACAAAATTAGCTTTAGACAGAAATGTCATCAGTAATCACAAATTAAACTCAAAAGTGGAATCACACTGTTACATTAGTGGGGTTAAATTAAATGTCTATTTTGCTAAATAACTCATATTATCTATGACCTACATGATAGTCTCTGCATGATAGGAATTGAATCTTCCTATTATGAAATATAAAAAAAAGCTCTTTGAATTAAAAACAAAAATAAAAATTGCTGACAAGTTTTAATTTAGAAGTCAAACAACAAAAATCAGCGTTATATTTTCAAATTTCACAGGACTAGTTTCGATGATTTTACCGAACCTTCATCCTCAGCTGCAAAAGCGCAAATGAACGAAGATATAATGATAAGATAAGAAAAGAAAGCCTGGACAGGAGACAAGCTACTGGCACCATGACACCATCTGTTGATGAAACTAGAACTAAACCATAATTTCTTTAAAGGCTGAAGGCAAAGATGGATTGGAATTAGGATCATTTACTAGAACAGAAAGATTTTTTTTAATGTGAAATGCCTCTAGAAAATCCAGTTCATCAATGGAAGATGTTTTTGAATAATTTTGGCAGCATAAAAATTGAAAGCGTGAATTTTGGACCAACAATGTTAGGCAACAGAAGACTTCTGTGTTTCCTTTTTTCTAACATATGCCTCATGTTCCTTAAAGCAAAATTTTAAGGTTCTCTTAGTTTCCCCAATGTAAATTAAACCACACTGGCAAGGAATCCTGCAAATACCCCAGGAATTCATATTCGGAATGGGGTCCGAATTTTATTGATGGGAGAATAAACGACTCGATAAATTTCTGCAAAATACGTGCAACTTTATAACTAATTGATGGAAAGAAGGGAATGACAACAGAATTTTTATAATCTCCTAAAACAAGAGTGTGCCTTTTGGTGTGTTGAGATGAGAACTTTTTAACTGCTTGATTAATAATGTTGGGTGAAAAGCCCCTGTCATTAGCTATTGCTTTTAAATAATTTAGTGCTTCATCAAGGGATAGTTTGGAGGAGCAAACTTGAAGAGCACGGAAAACATAGAAATAAAATGAAGCTAACTTTTGTTTAGTTGGATGACATGATTTGAAGTGTGGAAAGCAAACCGATGAAGGTTTACGGTAAACCGTAGTACTGAAGTTGGATGTGTTACATGTAACCAGAATGTCAAGAAATGGAAGAGAATTGCAAGTCTCAAGTTCAAAAGTGAACTGAATAGCAGAAGCTATTCAGCTTCTGCTATTTATTTAAATCATCTTTATTACCTTCAAACAGGGTAAGTGGAAACCATACCGGGAAGTTTAAAGTTTCAAACAATTTTGATTCAGAATAATGCATGTAGATATCAGCTAGGATGGGACTGAGGAGGTTTTCCATGAATAATTCCTCAGTTTGCTTGTAATATTTATTTTGGAAAACAAAATGTGTTTGTTTGAAACAGTGTTGACTGAGAAAAATTAGCTCATCAATTTCGATGCAAGAGAAATGAAACTTGCGAAATCTGGTTTCTAGACATCTTACTGCACCCTCCACTGTCAAGTAGTTTTGACAGTTTCAACCAAGACTTGCTTGGTAAAAATCTGGGGAGATTTCTAGGGAAGTGGAAAAATTTCAAGTTTTGCGTTACTGTGGTAAACGATACTCTCTTAGTGAATTAAAAAGCAAATGATGCTGGATTTTTAACTTCTTTCAGGCTTTCTCAGCGTGGACTGATAATTTACAATTGCTAAACAAATGCAAGTAATTATCTTTACATTTCAACACATTAATCAAATTTTGCACATATAATCCTCCTTTTAAAGGGAATACAGCTGATTGTGTTTTTCAGTACAGAGTCGTTTTATATTTTAAAAGAGTATCTCCTTTTCATAAGCCATTACTAAATACTTCAAGAACAACTTGTTTGTATGATGTATAAGCAGGTAAAAAAAGGACAGGCAATCATATGGTAATGATGCAGTATGCAATTGACCTCTTTTACTTAGTTGGCGGGATGGCTTATCATTTTAATCATTTCTTTTTTCCCATTATTTTATAGAAAACAGGGATTTAAAAATAGCATTTCAGTGGGCCATGAATAAATAATTAAACTGAGACATGAATAAATAATTAAAAACAGTAGTTTGCATACTATATCATTACTGACTATTCTCAGTTGTGGTAGCCGATGTACCACTTTTGATGGGACTTATGTAAAATTCACCCATCTTTTTAGAGATATTGCAAATGATGTAAACTTTCCTAATAATCTTCAGCAGTTGGATGTTAACTTTGGATATTTCTGCTGGTTGTCTAGTATATAACTGATTCTTTCAAGCTGTCTTTTTATGACTTGCTTCCATAAATATCTTTCATTACTGCAGCCCCATTAATTATTGTACAAGTTATCATATTTTTTATTCTGCATCTATATGATGAAAAATGAATGAAACTTTTATGTACACTCAAAATAAGTTCATGGGTTTTACACTAGAAACAGCCAATGTTTAATCAACATGATGCTTACTTTGACAGCAGATCATCAAGATTAAATATGTACTAAGTAATCACATATTTCTTCCCATATTTTTCCTCATAGCATTTTAGTGCCAGTTTCTAAAAACTTTAAAAAGATTCACATAATTTTTTTTATCATTAATGCATTAAGAGAAAGAGCTCTATTAAATTTTAACAACTTCACCATTTCTCCCGAGACAAGACTCGTCAATCTGACAAGTGTTGTCAGGAGTCACCAACGACAACCACCCATCGGGATACAATGTGGCCTGGCCTAGAGACTTGTTTTGCTTCATGCCTCCCCCCTGCCTAATACACCACAAATGAAAAAAGGTTGATTAATAGTTTAGCTAATCATGCTCTCTCCACAGCTGGGTTATATCAGGATTATACAATTCAAAGTTCACGTAAAAAGACTGGAAATAGGAAAGCACTTCAACCCCTTTTAGCTGGCATTGCAATGGGAACTACTGCTCATTTGAAAGCATGCCTTTAGAGGATTGTCTTTTTTAATTTTCACATATGAGACTACAGAATACAAGAGAATTTTTTTCTCCTGGGTAGGGTGACAATATTCAACATCCTTGAGTGATACAAGTAAGTAGTTGATATTGCTTTGGAGCTGACTTCTAAACAGGTCTAGGCAGCTGGTGAAACAGGAAAAGGAATATTTCTGAGGCCAATTTCAGAGGCAAAAACAAGAAGTAAATTTGAATTTTGCAGGACAGTGAAAGTTAAAATGGATCTGTCTATGTAGTGATTGATATCTTGGTAATAAAGACAAGTTCTACAAACTACCATGGAGGTCACAGAAAACTTTTTTATCTTCTACTCTAGCTATCATAGTTATACAATATATCAGAAACAAGGATATGGATAAAATATGAATAATATGCACTTATATCAAATAAAACGATCTGTCACTTCAGAGGCAACAGCTGAAAAGAATAAAAAGTTAAATGCAGATTAACAAAAGGAATTAATCATTGTATAATACTTAATAAAATCCATCTACAAAAACAGAAGAGTAAAAATAACTATTATCATGTTGCTATAAGACATTTTAATACAATAAAATTGATAGGAAAATTCAAATTTATAAAAGATTTCTTTTAAATATTAATTTGTGTATTCAAATAAATATACTGTATAGAACAAAAGGGCTAAAAAATTATCTAAACAAACTTTGTATGCACAAATCTGCTTCCCTGTATCTACGAATTTTACCACAATTAATGTTTGTAAACAGCCTCATCAATTTCAAATATATACACCGTATTTCTTTATGTTTTCCCACCTAGCTTTTTAACTTCATGTTCTGAGCACTTATAATAAAATAATCATGAAATATTCCTCTTCCTCAGAGCATTCAGAGAATATTTAGCCCTAAATTTTAAAATGGATTCGTCTAAGGTGTGATTGTTTTCATCTTGCTAACATAAATAAAAAGATCTCTTGCAAACTATCTGTGAAGGTCACACCAGACCTTTCCCTTGTAAATTTATGCTAGCCTAACATAAGAACCCACCCATCACAGCAAAGAAAACATGAATGGACATTCTACCTATGTTTTTGTCGAGTTGGCTACATATTCACATTTTCTAATTATTTATGGATGATTTAGGGCCTAAAGAGTAGCAGAGACAACAATAAGAATTGGGCGGATTCAAGCTGTGGGGAAGCAGATATGAAGATATCTTATTAAATATTGTATTATTAATATTATTTCTTACTGAAATATAGGTTCCTTTTAAATAAATAATATTGTGATAGCTACCTGTAGTTTATTCATAAGTACTTTTAAGGTGGTCTACTACAGCAGCATTATAATACTAAAAATTTTTTTACACGCAGAATCGCTAATTAAGAAACTATGTTGCGTGAAATTTGGCAGAAAGCAATAGGCAGTTTTCAGTTTTGAATCACAATGTTAGAATCAGGTTTGAAATGAAATTTACTTAAATATCATATTTTAAAAAATTAGTTTGAAATACGTAATTTTAAATGTGTAGTTTGGAAAGCCATCAATAGATGGCGCTACGAGTTAAATTTAACATTGTAATCTTATTTCTGCAAAAATTCACGAAGTAATTGATTTTGATATCAGTTATAAATCATATTTTTTTCTAAATAATATTTAGAAGCGTTTCATATATCCTTTATACACACAGTTTTCACTAAACATTGTCAGCTGTCAGCAGAATGACGTTTACGGCAACCCTATTGCATTGCTATTCTGCACTCGTTTTGTTTACATTTATTTGTACTGTGGTCAGTTTGCAAAAAATATGCGAAAATATCAAGGACGACCGAAAAAAATCCTGGTTTTAATAAAAGATCCAGAATTCAGCGTAAACGTCGAGCTCAAGAAAAAAATATGAATTAAATTCCCGAGATGTGGAAGATTCCGAACAAGCGGATGTTTTTCGAAAGGTGAGAAATAATTTATTCTTTATATCGACTACCCCGTGTTTATGATTTCGTAGTAAGTTAATTCCGAAGTAAAATATGCGTATTTTTTTTTATTGAAGGTCAGAAATTATTGATACAACTGCATCTGTGTCAAAGGAGAATCATTGCCCGGATGATTTTTTTACAAAGTAAGTTTTTTTTTTTTTTTTTTTTTTTTTTGTATGTGTGTGTATGAGGGGATGCTAATAATTGTTCAATTCTGTTATAACAATTTATTCCTCCATTCACACTAAATTGTTGGGAAATATTGAAAGGGTAAATTCCAATTCACAAGGAATTGCTGAAAATATTGAATCTTTTCAAAAGTATGAGCATGTTCTTGCGATCTAAATTGAATTCACCATCATTACATGTATTATTGGAAATTTTATAGTCATATGTTTGCTACGAAATGCTTTGTCAGTTACCTATGGTATTTTTTACAGGTGTATGCACATTTATTCATGTGCTCGCTGTTCAACTTGCTTTTTTTTATTATGTCATTTACTTGGATGTTAAAACTTTCTTTTAGCGTTGGAACATTTTATGATCATTTAGTAAAATTTATATATAAATATATATTATTGCTTGTTTATTTATGGTTCTGTGTATTTGTCATGTATGCATGTTGTGAAGTGTAGTTTTTGAAAAATATGTCACAAATGGTAAATTCCACCAAAAGCTGAATTGAATTGATATTGGGATGCAGGTAATTAGAAAATATCTGCTGTGTATTTTGCGCATAAACCAAACTAGTGCCAAGAATGGGACCAATACGCTCAGGCTTGCTTAGCCTTTTTGCCATTGTCCAAATTGAATTATCTCCAGTATAAAGGGAGTGAATGCTTTCTCTGTATACGAGGGCCATCCAGGAAGTAGATTACGTTTCCGTCTGTGTCCGCGAGGGGCGGGGCTAGCGCGGCCATCTTGGGGTCAGAGCGTTGCGCAGCTCAGTCTGCATCTAGCCGTGCTAGTGAGAGGTTCGTGCTGTGCTCCGTTCAGATACTGTGACGGTTTGAAATGTCTGCGTTAATTGAAAATCCCGCGAGCTGCGAGGTGCGCTCAGTAATAAGGTTTCTGACTGCAAAAAACTGTAAACCGATAGAAATCTATCGGCAGCTTCGTGAAGTGTATGGGGACAACATTATCACTGAAGGTGGAGTGCGTCAGTGGGTCATAAGATTTCAAAATGGCCGAACCAATATTCACGACGAAGATCGAAGTGGGAGACCCAGCATAGTGACCGCCGAACTTCTCGAAAAAGTCGATGCTAAAGTCCGTGAAAATCGAAATTTCACAATAACGGAACTTTCTTTGAGTTTTCCACAAATTTCGCGAAGTTTGTTGCACGAAATCATCAGCGAAAAGCTTGGTTACCACAAGTTTTGTGCAAGATGGATTCCAAAAATCTTGACAGAGGACCACAAAAATCAGCGAATGGCTGCAGCGTTGAACTTTTTGGACGCTTACCATAAGGATGGTGACTCTTTACTCGATCGCATCGTTACTGGTGACGAAACATGGGTGAAACATGTGAACTGTGAAACGAAATTGCAATCAATGCAGTGGGGGCACACAAGTTCTCCCCAAAAACCCAAGAAATGCATGCAAACAATGTCGGCAAGGAAGATGATGGCGACTGTTTTTGGGACAGAAAAGGTGTAATTTTGGTGGACTTCCTGGAAAGAGGCACTACAATAAACTCTCAAAGGTATTGCCAAACTCTCCAAAAACTCAGAAGAGCAATTCAAAACAAGCGCAGAGGAATGTTGAGCTCTAAGATCTTGTTGATTCACGACAACGCCCGGCCCCACACGGCAAATGTCACTCGTAAAGTTCTTGAATCTTTTAAGTGGGAGTTGTTTCCTCATCCGCCGTACAGTCCCGACCTGGCACCGAGCGACTTCCACCTATTCCCAGCAATGAAGAAGTGGCTGGCTATGCAGCGTTTTGATGACGACGCACAGCTGCAAGAAGAGGTAACGAAGTGGTTGAAGGCGCAGGCGGCCGAATTTTTCGACGAAGGAATTTCCAAGCTCGTACATCGCTACGATAAATGCCTTAATTTGTATGGTGACTATGTAGAAAAGTAGTATTTGAGTGTGGCTTTCATCTGTATATAATAAAATTTGTTTCCTATACTTTGTTTATTTTTTATTCCAAAACGTAATCTACTTTCTGGATAGCCCTCGTAACAATTAAATATCTGTCTGATCAAAAATCTACCAATAAGAAACTTTTCATATGTTATGTGACAGACTTTCTGCAAACAGAAGTCCTCAGCTCTGTTCTTGTACATGTTTTTTAATTGTGGTTCAGATGTGTACTTCTCAAAGGAATTCTTCTCATAGGAAGATTATCTGAACATTTAAAAACTATATTCTGCTTTTAGGGGCCTAATATTTTATGCCCCTAAAATTAATATTGAAATTTCTAAAATGTTGAAAAATATGTCATCTGGATTCTGTACAAAAAATATAATCCCCTTTTTCATTTCTGCATTTGCAATTCCTGCATTTTCTTTATTCCTACATTTTTTAATTGGAAGGAATTTCATTCGCAGAGCCCTCTAATTTATTCTTACAAATCATGTAGTAATGTACCATTTTAGATAGATATAAATAACACATTTTGTAATTTTTCTAAACTGTGGTTATACAGCATGATATAATAGCTACACAGGGTATGGCGAAACAGTATACAGCAATATCTGTCGCACTGTCTGAGATGGGTGGTAGTCATACATAGCTTAATGCTTAAATAAATTTGTTATGTGTTATTTATTTATTCATGTTTTTTTTTTTTTTTTTTTTTTTTTTTTTTTTTAATTATGTTTATAGCAGTTTATTTCTTTCATTCTTAGGTCCGGAAGTGAAAAATTTGACTTTTCTACGCCAGAAGTTACAGCTAATGTTCCTAAGACAAACCAGGCTTTCCTGAGGTAAGTTGGTTTATTTTTAAAATAGATATTAGCTGTGCATGATATTACAGTTACTTAATTATGGTTAACTAATTATGTATTAATTTAGAAGTCAAGCAACCAAAATCAGCGTTATATTTTCAAATAGTGAATATTTCAAAATATGATGCTGATTTTTGTTGCTTGACTCTCAAATTAATACTTGGTCGGTGTGTTATTGTATCTTAATTAAACTAATTATGGTTCTTTTCTTCTCAGTTCTGATCTGGACATTTCAGTTATTGACTCTGACGTAGAAGGTAGAAATACAAGCTCTCTTTTGGGGTAAATATGTATTTCTCTATGCCAAAATTAAAATGTCATCATTTATGTTTTTCTTTTATGGTGTTACATTATGTTGTTTACATACTGATAGCTATTAAAACTGTTAAATATAATATTGTAGCTATCAAAAAGAGGGGGATGAATTTGATTTGTACCAAATTTGGACGTTTTGCATGAAAGAACTTGAAAATAAAAGATTTTTTTTTTAAAAATATATTCATTGAAATCAGTGAAATTTTCAGTCGGGACACTGAAGCAAATGAAAATATTTTGGGGTTTGATTCTTTTGATGGGAGCCTCATCAATAAGCCTACTATCTTTTTTAAATATTGCTTCTTTTTCATTGTTTTCATGATGTTTTATGTTCCCTTCATGAAAGAGATTTTTAATAATTTAAATTTTGTTAATAAAATATAACAAAATGAAATCTGTGATTATGTGGCTGTTATTTTTTCCATATATATTTATTTGAGGAAAACCAAAAAATTTTATTATTTTACAGAATTTTTAAGAAAAATATAAGGATAAAATTTTTTAAATAATTCTGATTACTACCTTTGCTTTCCTCTCATAATGTGCCTCAAATTAGAGCAATTAGACAACAAATTTAAGTCGTGATCTTTTTTTCCAAGTTTTTTTTTTAGGCTTAGGAGTATAAAATTGCTTATCCCCACAAGACAGTGCATCTTCTTAGTATGCCATCCTAAGGCTCCGTTCACATGATGGTATAAATGTCATAGACGCATAATCATAAGGCACAAAATGTGGGAGTTCCATTCACACCTGCGAGAGAGGGTCTAAGCCATAGCCAATTAGAGAAGCTAAATTTGTGCATGCATGTATGTGTCTACAGCTTTCTCTCTCAATAGGTTTTATGTATATGCTCTGATTGGCCGACTCTTATATCAAGTCGGCACAAAGTTGAAAACTTCAAGCTTAATGCCCAAACTAGTTTTTGTGACATAGCAAGGTCTGACTACAAAGCGTTGTTAGTTGGGAATTATGACATTTATACAACGGCTTGAATAGAGCCTTAGAAAGCCATTTGGTAACTGAGTTATCCACCATGAAAGAGTTATTCTTGCCCCTCTGAATTCAGTGTTTACTGGAACACGAACATTTTATACTCAGGTGTAGAGGCCCTTCATGTGAAACCTCCGGCACACAAAGTAGTGACTGACTAATATTGCACGAGCAAATGACACTGCGAGCATGGAAGCAGCAGTTGTGAAGATGACTCATCTTCTTGTAGTAATATACTGGTAATCCAGTGTATTATTATTGTTAATTTATTTGCTATCTGTTGCCTAAATTTCCTAAACCTAATTGCGAATGGGCTGCCTGCATGGGCGTTTTCATGGTTTTCCCCGTGTATATGAGCCATTTCCCTTAGAAAGTCCTCCATGAAAGCATTCCTCCTCTTAGGAAGATCAAGTGCTTTGCTGTCATCAAATAAGCCAAATTTAAACCTAATTTGTAATATTTATATATATTAATTATATATATGTATATATATTGTGTGTATATATATATATATATATATATATTTTAGCTTGGAGTCTGAGCCTCTTCAGGAGAACCTTAATGATGAATTTCTGTGTCCTGATTCACCTTTAATTATCGAAAGGGAAGATCGACGAAAGGCAAATCCATTACCATCTGGCAGAACAATTTGCAATATGTCTTTTGTAATAGTGCAGGCTAGGACATTAGAGCAACATTCCCTAAATTGTAAATTTGGAGGATCATTTATTTTTAACAAAGTGATTCGACGTGGTCTTGTCACTACATATAACTATGTATGTGATAAAATTTTTAGCATCATGGAAATTCCGTATATGAGCAACTCGACCTTTGCTTCTTGTGAGCGAACTACTGGCAAAATAATACAGGGATGTGCACAGGAAACTATGTGTGCTGCTATAGAAGAGGAGAAAAGGCAGGCAGAACTTCGCAATGATAAAGATAATGATGGTTATCACTGTATAACTGTCATTGTTGATGGAGGTTGGTGTAAAAGAAGCTATGGGCATGGTTACAATGCTTCAAGTGGCATATCTGTTATTATAGGCATGGTCACCCAGAAAATTTTGTTTGTTGGAATTCGCAACAAAGTGTGCCTTATATGCAGTGCTATTGAAGATGGCAAGATGCCAAATAAAGTGCACCTTTGTTGGCGAAATTGGAATGGGCCTTCTACAGGTATGGAAAGCAGTGCCATTGTGGAAGGTCTGAATTATCTCCAGTGTGTTCACAAAATACGTTGTACTCGACTTGTTGGAGATGGAGATGCTAACACAATGGCCAAAGTGAAAGAAAGCGTTTCATATGGAGGACGGGTGATCAAAGTAGAATGTGCTAACCATGCTGTTCGAAGATATCGCAGAGCTCTTGAGAAACTTCAGCAAAATACTGCGCGCTTCCCCGGGGCTAAAGGAATTGCTGCCCGTAAATTGCTGAAAATTAAAATGCCACTGTTAGTCAGAGGTGCTAGAGTAGCTATAAAAGCTCATGCTTTACCTAGCCATTATCAGCACACACAAGAAGCTTTTGATGCATTAGTAAGTGACCTGAGAAATGAGCCACACCATACATTTGGCAAGCAGGATGCTTCTAAAGAAATGTGCAGAGTTGGACAGCAAATACAATGAAATTTTTTCCTACGATAAATTGCAAGCAATTGAAGTGGAAGTGGGAAGAGTACTGATATCGTGTAGCAGAACTCTTTTTTTGGAATGCCACAACCAATCCCACTGAAATATTCATGAATCAGCCATGTAAAACATCTGGCATAAAAAGAGTTGATTTTTCCAAAGCTGGTGGCATAAAGAGATGTGCAAGTATTTCTGTCATAGCCTATGAAAATCAAGCAGCACAGTAGCAAAAAAATACACACCAAGTTGTAACAGGAAGTAGTCAGAAGACTCCAAGTTTTGAACTTCAAGAAAAAAGCACCACGTAAAATGTCTCAAGAGATGCACTTTTCAACACTGAAAAGAAAAAGAGAAATATGAGAAAAACAGGTCACGTTCAGCAAGGTGGGGATACTTCTTATGAGGATTTTGCAGAAAAACCAGACCTATTGGATGAAGCATGTGAACTGAAAGCTGATTTTTTTTTTTTACATCAAACCAAGTTGGAAAAAAAAAGATTCTGTTGAGATCATAACGTGGACAGTCATCATCTTAAAGATGGCAACAAGAAATTTCCAGAAGAGTATCGTCATCCTTTTTCAAAGATGTTGCTGACAGGCATCCAGCAACACTCAGTGCTGTTTTAGTGAAACATGAGTTATAATGATAACGTTTCAACTAAGGCTTTAAAGTATGGTTTGGCTAATGAAGCAGTAGCCTTAAATCAATACAAAGATAAGCCAATAGGGGAAAACATCAGAGTATGGCACTTTTATTGATCTAAAATTCCTTGTATCTATCGCGGTTGGTTGGTTCCTGCATCAGAGTCCGGGTCACAATTTCGAAAATATTTTTTGATGATGATCGTTGTCTCTTCTCTGTTTTTGTTGTACTCAAAATAAAAAGCATGTTTTGTCCCCCCCATTTCTGTCCTTTCTTTCTTTTGTGTCCTCACTACCACACTAGGAAAGTGTTTCCGACCATGCATTTCTATGTGATTTCCAATCTCTATCTCTCCTGAAAGTTTGTCAATGCTGTACTGGTTTGGTTTGGTTTATTTAATTACGGAAAAGCACAGTAGGGCTATCTGCCTAAGGGAAGGGATGCCTTCGTGGTGGACTTTCTAAGAGAAACTGGCTGGTATACATGCTACACAAGGGGAAAACCACTAAAACGCTCATGCAGCCAGGCCGTTCCATGGGATTCGAACCTCGGACCGAATTACCAGTGTTCAGCGACTTTACTGCTTGGCCGCTAGTGGGCCCAATGCTGTACTGATACACCCTGTATTCACATCTACAATACCCTGTGTAAAGAAATTCCTGGATATTTTTAGTGGTATTTCAAAGTGTGTTATGTCATTAGCTACACCTATGGACCACATCCCTCAAGCAGCATGTTTTATGGATACTTGGGAGAATGTTCATCAACAGTATATAGCCCATAAAGAATGGTCTATCGAGGATGAAGATTAATGCCCATTAAAAGTGGCAAAAATAAAATGGATAAGCTAATGAACCTAATATCCCCAAAGAGGCATTATAAAAAGCAAAATTACAAAACTAAAGAAGTTCGTGAATAATTTCAAAGACTCTGAAGAAAGTTCAATTGAATTAGAAGAGAAATTAGAAAACATCAAGGAACTAAAGGTTGGCATGACACACCTCTACAACTACTGCAACATTGACGAGATGCTAAATATTGAAGACGGTTTAAAAATTATGGAAGAGCTGGATTCATCACTGGATAATGTGGAGGTAAGAATTAAATACGTTCTTTGAATACTTAAATAATGCTTCAAAAGTTAAAGATGGTGTATCAATACATAGTGAAACTTTTTGTAATGTAAAATTGGCTTGAAATTCCACTGCCAATATTCACGGGAAATTACTGAAGGCTTTAGTAGCTTTAAACAGCAATTTATTTCTTCAGTTGGTGATGATAATTAACTTAGTGATTTACAAAAGCTTCATTTTTAAGGGCCACCTTAACGGGAGAAGGAAAACAAGTAGAAACAGAACATGACAAATATAATTTTTAAGGGCTACCTTAACGGGAGAAGGAAAACAAGTAGAAACAGAACATGACAAATATAATTCACTTCTGAAAGTTCTTGAAAGTCGTTTTGAAAATAAAAAAGCAGTTGCTGATTCTCATGCACAAAATATATTAAATCATGACAAAATCAACAACGAATTATGCCATTTATTGGATAATATAAAACAATCTGAGAGCATTAGAAGTTTTGAATTTGAATGCAGTAATTTATCTGATGCAACATTAATGAATACATTCCTTCAAAAAATTGATAAGGAAATGAATAAACAATTCGAGTTGACCTTAAAAACCAAAGTTCCCACTACAGATGAATTCTTAAGTTTTATGGAAAACATAACTTTAATATAAGAAAGCCTGTATAAAAACACTAACCAAAAACCAGTACTGCGTAAAAATATTAATTCAGGTCAAGGGAATATAAAACCTAAGTGTTTAACTGCAAAGGCGTCGAGAAAAATATTAAACCCCATCTTTTCTGTAACATGGAACTTTCTTTACACAAATGTTCTAAATTCCTTAATATGAATGTCTCAAAACGTAATCAAATAATTAAAGAATCGAAGTTGCACAAAATATGTTTTAAAATGCATAAAGAACTGTGCAAGTCAATTTTTCCATGTAGAATCCATAAAAATTCCGATCATAACAGTTTAATTCATGTTGATTCAAAACCTGAAGTTTATCAGACTTTTTCAAATGAGTCATATGCAATTGGCACCGAGAAGAAAGAAAAAAAAATTCCCATCTACTTCAACTGTGCAACAATATGTGGAAGTGCTAAGTGACATATTAACTAACAAATGGTAAACAAACTGGGTTGCTGTGTATAGTATCATTTATTGAAAACACGTTGGGAAAAAGTAAAATTAAAAGGAATATTGGATTCTGGAAGCAGCTGCAATATATTAACTACCGATGCCCTGGAACTGAAAAATCAAAAAACAAATACAACCATAACAGGAATAAGTGGAGGCTAATATTTTGTGAAAAATAAACAAATACAAAAATCACAAATGAAGATGATGATTGGTGTAGAACTCTATCCTTTTTTATTTTACCTTGCATTATGAGGCTTACATCTACAAATAAAATTGATATTTCTAAAAAACAGATATCCCACAGGAAACTAAACCAGCAGATCCTACTTTGCATATACCTAGCAAAATTCATGTATTATTACAGCGTGAATTGTTAAAGGCAGAAAGATTCACGTCATTTGATATATCACTCTTGTTACAAAATAGCGTATTTGGTTATTCAATGACAGGCTTAATCAAAAATTCAAATTCTTATAATTTTTCTAGGTTAATTTCAGTAGATCATTTAAACACATCTGTCAAACGATTCCTTGAATTAGAATCCTTTTCTGGTGAATGCACTAAAAATGTTAAGTGACAAAACTTTTGAAAAGCAATACTGTAAGGAGCATTTCATTTATACACACAAGAGAATTGAAAAATGGAGGATATATTGCAATGGTTACCAATAACTGAAGATAAACTGCAGACGTTGGGAATGTTGAAGGAAATAGCGGAAAAGCGATTAAACTTACTTTGGAAGAAATTAGATAAAAATAAAACCATAAAACATTATATATAGCATTTATGGATGAATATCTGTCACTTGATCACATGAAAATAATTAGAGAAAATAAGTGATCAATATAGAATATTATATTCTCCTACTATGCCATTTTTCATCCTGAGAGTATGTCAAACTACCTTCCGTGCCGTCTTTGATGCGCCTTCTAAATCAAGTAATGGGGGTTCCCTCAATTCTACATATTTAAACAGAGGAACTGTACAACAAGAGTTATTTTCTACTGTAGCCCAGATTCCACACACATAGATATACATCTGATGCAGCAATCAAGAAATGTAGAACAAAACACTAGTGGATGGAGCTAATAGAGATTTAAGTGTTGAGCAATTCCGTAGAGTGGAGTTGTCTTGCTTGGTTGCCTTTTGACCTTTTAGTGCTAGGTGCTTGTGCAACACCTGTGGATGAGATCTTTGAAAAAGAGCTAAAACCTTCTAGTTTAACAGTTTTATTACTCTATATGCTCGTGTAATGTCCGCACACAACTTTACAGATAAAATTTATGTAAAAAAAAAGTGGCACACACACTATCAGCACCCCAAAAACTAAAGAATTTCTTGCTTTAAATATATATATTTTTTAATATTGCCTTTTTCCCTTCAGTCCATTAACATCCTTAAAGAAAGAATATGCATTTGTTTTGTCTTTGGTTGGTGCCAGAAAGGAAAGCAGAGACTTTCCTTGCATTCTGATGCAGCTGTTATTCAGTCATAATATCAGTGCCAACAATCCACTCGGCAGATGGGATAACATAACATAACAATAGGGGCGCTTCCTTCTTATGAAAAGAAGGAAAAGAGTTTAGGCAAAATTGCCCATTACTCTTCCGCCATTTGATCATTTAAATCAAGGGATTTAAAGCTAACTCCCGTAAAGGTAAGTAATAAATAATAGATAAGATCCCAACGACACCAAATCTTAGTATCGCAAAGATCCCATCTCTAGTTCAATGTCGGTGGATCGTGAAAACTTCCCTATTGGATGGAAAGGATTCAATCCCTCCGAAAAACCAAAGAAATTCTTGAACCAACAAGAGTGCGATGGAGAGTCAATAAATAAATAAATAAATAAGAGGGCAAGAGGTGCATTCTCAAGCCAAATGGCCAGGGTATAAAGAGCCAAATTCCAAAACCAGCTAGAGAGGGGTCATATTTTTTTTTAAAAAAAAAAAAGATCATAGGGCGTCTCATGCTTGTTTCCTGTTTTCAAAATTCCCATCATAAACCGTTAAGAGAAAACCCTAATAGAAGGCTTAAAAGGAAAGGAATAAGGGAAAAAAGGGTTTCTAGGGACAGAGTCGTCCTCAGAAAGAAAAGTCTCTCACAAGCTGGGCAGAGGAGATTCGACAAGACCACATTTGT